CAGCTCCACCATTGTCCACCATTAAAACATGGGATTTGTTGACATAACAAAACTATAAAATATTGCCAAACTTGTCCTCAAAACATTGATTTTGACCACTTGGAGTATAAAATTATACTTTTGAAAGTACAAATATTTAGCACAAGAAATTGTAAAGGGTACTTCCAAAGCTTTTTATTACCTAGAATGGAATTTAAATGAGCTGTGTATGTGCATCCGTGTGTACAATATGAATATGCATTGAGTAAGCATTTGATTATATACAGTATGAATGTGTTGTTGTTTTTTTGTTGTGATGATGTGTCTGCACCATGCACATGTTTCATCACTTGTGTTTGTGTGTGAGTCCATGCGTGTGTTTATCGTTTATACGTGTGTTTGTGGTCAGGAGGTGAGGGTCGAACAACAGGGAACTAAACAGCTTTAAAAGAAGAAAATCCAACAACATAAACAAAACCACGGTCAGTGTGACACGTGTCACCTTCGCTGTGACGGGAGACAGACACCGGAGAGGCACAGAGTCCCCGAGAATCTCTTTGAAGTCAGCCTGCAATTGTGCCGCTGGTTTGGAAGTATTGCCTTTCCTGCCCTTGGGCGTTGCTATAGGGCAGATGCACTCGGCTTTTAGTGAAACACTTGCCAGGATTAGGCCTATTAGCTGAACGGGAGGGAAATACAACCATTGCTGGTTTTAGTGGACTCCTAGCTGAATGTGGAAATTTAGTCTTATTTAATCGATTGGATTGTTATAACATTTTGTCGGCATAATCAAGGCAGATGTCTCCCTCTCTTTTGCTATTTGTTTTTTCCAACAAATCTTCTGCCTAATCAAGACCTGAATGCACATTCTCCACCAAACATCTCTTTTTCTCTGTCTTTCTCTGCCCCTCTGTCTCAGTCATTACTGGTGCTGTGTTTGTGTTTCTGCTCCAGGCGTTGGGTAAATACCTCTGCTGGAGTAGGTTTTCCCCCCACTTCCCTCCATTACCTTCTCTAATGACGTTTACACATCTGCTTAGAAGAGCTTCCACTCATCTCTCTGTCTCCCTGTGTCCGTCTTTCTCTCTTTCACTTTGTTGCACACACTCATACACACACAAGCACACGGACCCGCTGACGCTGCAAGATTATGTTTAAGAATTACATTCTGTATAATTTGGCTATTGAATTTATATCTTAATTTCTATTAAGTAGTTAAGTTCAAAAGCACATAGTATCCACTCTCCCTTTTTAATAGACCAACAAATAACAAAACTTTATTCACAAATTTAAAGAGTTCTGAGCAAAAAACAGAGATACTCACACACCTATAAAAGGAAATAGATGTGTATGTGTGTGTAAGTGGAGGTTTATTAAGAGTTCAATAAGGACTTCAGTCACAGTAATTTTTGTTTTGACTTTTCAAGAGGGTAAATTAGTCTGAAAAAATAGAATGACCTTTACAAGCAGCACAATTGCTGAGTTGAAATGATTAGTTGATGAATTTATTACTTGATTGACAGAAAATGAATGTGCAAACAGAGTTGCTTGTTCTCGAAAAGTAGATGCAGTGTATAGCAATTGTTATGATCCTCTCTATCTGTGGTTCCCTGTCTGATCACTTCCCATATGTCCTATCACTTGTAAGTGTTTTATGACTCCACGCCGGCAACAGCCGTGGCTGGAGGCATTATGTTTTCAGGTTGTCCGTACGTCCATCTGTCCCGTTCTCCTGAACATGATATCTCAGGAGTGCCTTGAGGGAATTTCTCCAAATTTTGTGCAAATGTTCTTCACTTTGGCTCAAGGATGAAGTGATTAGGTTTTGGTGGTTAAAGATCATTGTGAACTCACAAAACACAGTTTTGGCCATAACTCAAGAATTGATACACTAATTAATAATAGGAATAATAGGATACAGTCCAAACGGTCAAAGGTCAACTTCACTGTGACATCATAATGTTCTGTTAAAACACTTCTGGCCAGAAGGGGAGATTGCATTTTTGTGATATTGTTCATTATGGGGGAAAAAATTCTCTCCTGCTTTTTTTTTTTCGCTGGACACCTGAACTTTTCAACTCCTCACCTCCACATGCCCCCAAACCTGAACTGGTGTTACTTCAAGTGATCTGCTGGTTTATTCCACACACACACACACACACACACACACACACACACACACACACACTCTGAAAAGCATACATACTCACATCACTCTACAATGAGACTTGCCCAGCGGTCATGTCACTCCGGCTTCATTTTCCAGCTGATTGACATGTCATGTAAAATATACACACACATATGCACATGCATGCAAAGTGACTGTACCTGTCACCTCTCTTGAAGAGTATTACCTTTACCTCATTTTGTTCTGCCTGTCCATCACCTCTATTCTTCCTCCGCCGACAGCTGAATAGGCTCCTGTGGGACTTTGTTAAGTGTGTGTGTGTGTATGTGTGTGTGAAAGGTTTTCGGCCTGCTGCCTGGCGCCACTTTGCCCACCCTCCACTCTCCTCCTCCAAACCCTCTGTCTTGTAATGGGACAGTTGAGAAGATACGCTGTACTTGCCTGTGGTTATATATACTGTATATATATATATATATGTGTGTGTGTGTGTGTGTGTGTGTGTGTGTGTGTGTGTGTGTGTGTCGCCAGACCTCACAGCACTTTCATTCTGAAGAACATAGTCTTCAGTTCGTCCCTTCTTTTTCTGTTCCCAGTAGTACGAGTTCTGTAACGCCTCAGGTTCTCAACAAAACCACTGAAGTAGAGAGACTGATAGACACTGGAGGAGAGAGGATGGAGAATAACTCTACAATGTTTACGACATTGTATTATGCCCATGGAGTTGTATAGAAGGAGGAGTTGTTTTGGGCACCCCTGGTTCTGAAAATAAAAGTCCAATTCATTTTTCCCTGCCTCCCAGTTGGACCGGTTCTACGGCTTGGATTGGCGTGAAACTATCCCAGTTAAATCTGACTGGTGTCTTCTCCATGGCAGTGGCGACTGAGAAACTTTTGACTGGTACTGGAGGTGGATAGATAACCAGTAGTATCAAAAATTGGATGTTTTTTGTTTTTTTCTTCTACATCTTACTTGTCAAATTCATTAACGTGTTATTAGAAGGAGGACATTATTAAGATAGTAAGATCGCTCACTGGTTAACTGAGTTTTATGACAATTCTTTTCCACATCCTTTCAGATTCCTTAGGGAGGGAGAGATGGGAGGCAAACAGCAAGTGCTAATAGCTTTTTCAGTGTACTTTTAATGCGGCCAATTTGCTAAAATGTAAACAAATATAGGCTTAAAAAATTACCCGCAGGTTGTTTATATCCCCAAAAGCATCATAGGAAGTGTATTTTAAAAAATCAGAGCATAATTATCCTCCAAATAGAAGTAGGACAAAGTATAATAATAAAAGTGACAAAATCCATTAATATTAAAAAAAACCTTTTTATGTTGCACCATCAATATATTTTTACATAATTAAGGTTCCTTGCATGAATGAAGCACAGTTTGAACAAGTTTGCATTGTGGTAGAACTGGCCAATGTGTTTATGTGACACGATCTTTTCCTGAGAGTTTGCACAAGTCTCCTCTCCACCGCACAAACACACACCTTATCTGCTCTCTCAGCATTCACAGGCCTCCCGCGATGTCTTCCTCTGTTACATTAGACGCCGTTCAGGGCTTGGATTCTTTGTTTTATCCAGTTTTTCACTTCTCATTATCTCACTCTTTCGTCAGAGGCATATCTTGTGTTTTCAGATTTTGTCCACCTTTCTTTGCTCCGATATGACACTGGAAGCTAGAGGACTTCTCCCGCAAGGATATACTGAAGATAAGAGCAGGTGTGAGTCTGTGTGCGTGGTTTCCATATGTATGTAAATGTGCGCATGTGTGAATTTCCTCAAGTATCACAAGGTTAAAAGATAGGAGAGTATGCATCGGACTGTATATGCCTTTCCATGCATACGTATGCGCGCGTGTGCCGTATGAGTTCAAATATCAGACATTTGAGAGATAGCAGTGTATGTGGTGTAGGACTGACTTGAGTGCCTGAGTGTGTTTACTGAATACATGAGTTCATGTAGTCTGTGATTGAGACTTGGCAGGAACTCTAAGGCACCTCAGACTGGAAAATCTGCACTCATACACTCACAATTACACACCGTTACCCCACCTATCTCTGTCTGTGGATGTACTTTCTGGTCGCTCTTTGTATGTTCTTCATGTTTGCCAAGTTTCTTTCCGAGAGCCAAAACAAGACCAGGCAGTGGCTGAGAGAGCGTCTACGAGAGATAAAGGTTGTGGAAAAAAAAGTCAGAAAATTTGAAACACTGTCCTTTTGAGAGAGATGAGACAATAGAGAGTAGAGGAAAAAGTGCAAGAGAGAAAGGGAAAATCAGACACTGAAATACTGTCCTTTGAGAGAGACGAGACAAAGAATGAGGAGAGTAGAAATTGCCAGAAAGAGAGAGTGAAAGCTTGCAGACAGGGTCAGAAAGCTTAATGCATTTCTAATAGCAGGTACCTTGGAAAAACATGGGAGACAAGAAAGAGGGGAAAAAAAGATAAAAAAGGAACGGGACAAGTAGGCAGAGGGATGATAAGTGAAGGTACAAGAGGGAAAAAAAGAGAAAAGGTAAAGGGAAGGAAAAATTGACAGAGAAACTTACGCAGAGCCAGGTAGGTGAGAAGGGAATGGGGGTGTGTGTGTGATGTGTAATGTGTGTGTGTGTGTGTGTGAGGCAAGGCTGTGATGGCCTTGTGTCACTCACCCTATGGCAGCTCTTTAACCCTGTAATTTACCACATCACTCTTCTCGCAGTGATGGGACCATTGCGCCGGCTGACAACACTGCCTCTGGCGTGTGCGTGTGCGTGTGTGTGTGCGTGTGCGTGTGTGTGTGTGTGCGAGAGAGAGAGAGCGCATACCTGTGAGAAAGAATTCTTAAAGTGTCAAACAAAATGTCTCTGAGCCCGCCTTCATTTCAGGCATGTCTCTCTCTTGTTGCAGTGGAGCTCCAGACCTGGACCTCGGCCTTCACAGACCCTGCGGTGATCGCCAAATTTGAACACAGCTGTTTTTGACCTCACATTGGTCGGAACGTAAACAACACTTCTGTAAGTAAAAGTTATCTCAGTTAAAGAGCACCCTTTCCAAGAAATTGCAGTCACCAGCCACTACTCAGTGGTGCTTGAAACCTTTTTTGCTCATAAGAAGTGACATGATTTGCATTTAAACACATCAAGACAGACAGTGTGTAGCATTGTAATAGATGCAGCTGAGTGTGTGAGATGGAGCTCTGCGGGGTCCTCATCCATCTTATACAGAATTTTTATAGACAGAAGTTTTATAACATTTGTTCCAACCCCATATACCCACACAAAGGGTTCCAAATGTGAGGAACATCCCTCAATATCATGTGATCCAGAACAACATCTCCATCAATTTTTTATATTTTGATGTTTGATTTAAAAGGTTGTCAGGTGTCCCATTGTAATACCTTTGGCACAGGCTTTAAATTTACAGTTTAGAGCTGAATTTCCTCCATTGATTTCCCCTCCTCAGCACTAGATCACAAAGATTCTTTCTTTCACTCTGATACAGTACAATAGTGGGAAGGACACATACGTAGGTTGCCTTCACCATCAATGATCTATACTGGCATCAGAAATTTGTAGCAGAAAACACAAGCCAGCTAATTACAGTTTTACCCCCCTTTTCTACAAATGAACATCAGAATTCAATTAAGAAGAAGGAAGTCAATATGTCCACTACATGTAAATCAACTCTGCAGTTCAACAAGGTTTTATTGTTAAGCTTTTCTTTGCATAGTCAGAGCAGTTGATGGGGCCACAGTTTGTCCCTCCAGCCACCCCATACATTTTCCTCTCACCTTGGCCAAGGAGAGTTTTCAGGGGGCAAAATCAATGAGAGAGATTTCAGATGTCTTAAATCCACCAACTCTATCACTATCTCTACTTTTCGTCATTCTCACCATCATCATGTCGCTATATCTCTCAAGACAACCTGTTTGCTTTTGCCATCATTTTTAGGACCCAATGAAATCAAAGACTCTCACAGTGCAACCAAATAAACTCTCTTTGAGAGGTCAGTGTATTGCTCTGTTCTAAAGATACTACCTGAAAATGTCCATGTTCAATAAATTAGCGTAGATCATGTAGTTGTAATGATGCAGTGTAACAAATAAATAGTTTTGATGTGAAAGCAGAGATGAGGAAAGTTTTTGAAAGCATTTGTGATTAGGAAATACTGCTCTTACTTTAATCTGGAAAATCCAAAATGCGTGTATTTTAATATCGATCTAGACTCGCAGTGAAAAAGAAATTGAAGTAAAGTAGCAAATGTAAAGAAAGTTGCAGTATTGGTGGAGGTTTGCACGTCCACGATACGTTATACAGTGTCTGGTAGAAAGGTCAGGACACGTCATTCCTCCGCCGGGGACAGAATGTTAAGGAACAACATTTTGGAAAGGCCAACAGTCAGAGTACGATGTTTGTGCTCTATATCCACCTGGACACTCACTGTAGCCGGACTTTATCCGTCCACACACTCAGAGCATGTATAGGACAATGGCTCAATGTTAGATTCTGTGAGCTTAAATAAATGTCTCGATGTTTGAGTTCGGAGCAAGAAAGAGTGAGAGATGTGACAGGACTGCAATCCAGATATCTCAGAAAGGCTTCCATTGTTTCTCTCTCTCTCTCTCTCTCCTTCACTCTTGAGAAAACCAGTCTCAAATAAATATTTACTTACTAAGTTCTGTCTCTGGCACACACACACACAAACACACACATATGCAAGCGCATTCATACAAAGGCACTTTCTGTTGCTCTTGTTCCTCTTTGCACACATATACAGTACACACACACACACACACACACACACACACACTCTCACACTCAGTAACCACCCAGAGGGGACAGTGAAAGAAGAGCAGAGAGAAAGATGCAGAGAGCAGACAAGGTCGCAGTTCCTGTGGACTGTCTTTGAAAGAGGAGTCGTATGTTTTCCCTCCCCTCCTTTGATGTTAAAGCAGCCTCTTTACTAGTGTAAAGACAGGGTACAATAACCTAGACCCCCCCACCCCTCACCCAAGCCCTCTGTACACTGGCTGTACACCCCCACAAAGCTCTGCAGGAGCACAGGTAACCCACGGCAACCCCAGCCAGAAATCAGAATGATCGTGGCAGCTGTCCAGGACCTGTACAGCATTGTGTGTGTGTGTGTGTGTGTGTGTGTGTGTGTGTGTGTGTGTGTGTGTGTGTGTTGTGCAGTACTGTGCAAAGGTTTTAGGCACTAGAAGTGAGCTTGCTTTCAAAAATGATGCCATGAATAGTTTTTGTGTGTCAGTTCACTTCATACAAAGTGCAGTAAACAGAAATAACATAAATCGAATCAATATTTAGGGTGACCAGCTTTTTGCCTTTAAAATAGCAGCAGTTCTCCTCGATACACCTGCAGACAGTTTTTCAAGGTTCCTGGCAGGTTGGTCGTTCCAGCATCTTGGAGAACTTGCTGCAGATCCTCTGTGGATTCAGTCTGTCTGAGTGTCGTCTGTCTCTTCATGTGATCCCAGACTGACTCCATGATGCTGAGATCAGGGCTCTGTGGGGGTCAGACCATCTGTTTGCAGGACTCTTTGTTCCTTTTTTCAATGAAGTTACTTTGTTTTGACTTTTTGACTCTGACTGTATGTTGTCATGCTGCAGAATTAATTCTGGACCAATTGGACGCCTCCCTGATGGTACTGCATGATGGATAAGAATCTAAACATCTGACTTGTGTAAAACCTTTGCAAGGTAGCGTCTGTGTGAAAGCAATCTTTGTATCAATAAAAAATTTGATACCTATTTTTTATTTATTTATCAATAGTTGTAATCAAAACGGTAAAATGTGCAAATATGCATGTGCCAGTGTGTACATGTATGCACCTCTCACAAATGAACATGAACAACAATAAATTGGTTTGTCTGCATTCTTGAAAAAGCACGTCTATAAAAAGCTAATCTTTGAGGTGATACTCGTGCTTGTGTAGCTGTTACTTCTGGTAATACAAGTTTGATGTAAAATTTTATGAATGAGGATTATCTGTGTGTGTTTGTGTGTGTGTGTGTGTGTGTGTGTGTGTGTGTGTGTGTGTGTGTGTGTGTAAAGGCAAGGCAGAGCAGATTTATTCAAGCACATTTCATTAAAGTTACCTCAACGTGTTTTGCTTGAAAATACATACAATTGTAAATAACAGTAGAACAGTTACTGTACATACATACACAGGAGAACAGAACAACTATAATGCAACAATAACAAATGAAAAGAAACAAAAAACCTGCGATGAACCCCACAGACACAAACCACAAATGCAGACACACAGAAATACATATATTCATATATACGACAAATAAACAGTAAATATCAGCAGATAACAGTAACTAAAAGTAGCCTCATCAGATATGGATCTTATTCAAGGTACAGTTAGAAACCCATGGCGTCATGTATACAAGACCTAAGGGCCACTGAATGACCTCAACTTCAGATATTGTTTATCTTAGTACAAACCAAGAATACCCCCTAAACCAAACCCTCTCTCTGTTCTTTGTTAACCTCTGTCTCTCTCTCTCTCTATTTCTCTTTATTGCCTACCCAGGTACATCTGTGGCCACAGGGCTCATGGACACACGCATATCGCTCTTGTCCAACACACACTCGCCCATTTGCTCTGCCGTTTTCCTGTATCTCTGTCAGCCCCCTTGTTTCTTCTATTCCGCCATAAATTCCCTGAGACCCCGACAGCTTCGCAGAACAAGGTCTCAAGAACTTTTAGGCTAGCCAGTCTGGCAATAACTAAATGAAAGCTTGCTGAAATGAGGTTTTCCCTCCAAAAGGGCTGACTTCCTCTAAAAAAAAAAAAAAAAAAAAAAAAAAAAAAAAGCTGGTTAGGATAGGATGAAAGAATCCTCTTATGTCAGTAAACTCGTTACGCCGATGCTGCCATGCCATGCTAGCCCCAGCGTTTCCATGGCACCCAGTGTTATCTATGTGTATTTTTGTTGGGACTTTTAGTTTTGGGGGTTGAGTGGCAAAATGAGATTTTTTTTTTTTTCCTCCCCCCACACCAGGAGGAGCAAGAGGGGAAAGATAAGAGAGAGTCCCCTCTCAGCGTTAACGAGAGAAAATAAGAGAGCGAGTGGATGGAGAGACGGAGAGCATTAGCTGCACTGATAGCGAAATGAATGGCCAACACAGCAATACTGCTACAGCTTTGCTACACTATACAGATATTCTGCACCGGACATTGTAGAGCGTATACTCCTCTCATGCACATGCTACTGTATGCTGATCTGATGAAATTTACACTTTTAGTCTTTTACAATGGAAATATCCAGTATAATATAAATATAAGGTTTTATTGCTCTATAATATCAAAATCAGTTTGTATTCTTTGTTCAACATGACATTATGCCCCAGACAGTGAACCACGTCGGTTAAAGGATGTTTTGCTTGCCCAGACAAACTCATTGAAACCTTCTTTATGTATGCAGTTTAAAAATATGTTGAAGGTGAAATTAGCCTCTAACTCTAACAAATGTATGGGACATAAAAAGATGGTCCTAGTCAAGCTATGTGCAAGTGATAACAGTTCCCCAAAGACCAAACTTTTAAAAACATTGAACTTTGGAGAACTAGTAGTTGCAGTAGTATGAGTTGAATCAGTAGCAGTACTAGCAGTGAGTGGTGGTTTGCTCTAGTTTTGATAGCAGTTGTAGCTATGGTAATGCCATAGCTGTAGCATTGGTTAATAGTTGCTGCACTAACAGTATTAGTAGTGGTGGTAGTAGCAAAGTAACTAGTATTTAATTGCAACGTACCAAATACATCAGCAATATATAATAACGAGCCATCAATGCTACAGGGGAAACTCCACAGAGAGGACAGAAGTCACTGAAAAATATCATCAGTAATATTTTTCCTATACACAGAATACATTCTGCCAAACGAATGTTCCTGCAGATAACAGGGAATTTGTCTGCCAGTAAAACAAGCCCGACATTATCATAAACAAATTTGCAACATTAAAATATATACTGTAGATCCTCAGTGTGAACTATTTCACTATAACATGAGAACCATCTGCGTGTCAGTTGAACAGTTTTGCAGTCACAAATCCACTACACTAAACTAACAACTAACTCATTTACTGTAAGCATACACACAAAAATACATATGTTTACTTTCCTACGCAGACTTACCTCTGTGCATTTCTCATGAGGGCTGGTACAACTCCAAGATCAAATTAATTTCCACTAAAAAAAAACAAAAAGGTTCTTTGCTTTCACGTGTCAAGACAAGACAGGAGTTTTGTTTTCTTTCCATTTTTGCAGTAGTTTAACCCTTGTAGACTATCGCACAGTGGAGCCGGTTTTCTCTGGAAAAAAGCACTGGTGCTAATTCAAAACAAGGCAAAGATCGGCGTCAAATATATTCTGCAGTCCATGCAACTGACTAATTCATATGAAAATACTCACTCAGGGTTTAAACAATTTATTTAGAGACTAAATAACCAAATCCACCGAAACAGTGAAGCAAAATGAAGGTCGAGGGGCCCCTTCAAGGAGTAGCAGACAGACAAGTGTGTAGGAACACTACAGTGACACCAGAAACGGGAGATGCGTAGCCCACTGCATGATGATAAATCCAACTTTGTTTTCTGCTTTGCACAATACAGTTTTGAGTGTCTTAAATCTGCCCTCACATAAAACCCATTGTTGCCCTCCAGGAACCAAAGTTATCTGAGTGGAGAATAAAGTCTGTAATAAAGAAGGAGGGACAGCCAGCACATGCCATAGACCTGCTCTGTGTTGATTAGCTGATGTGAGGAATGCTGCCTGCTTTGTCTGAGCTGTCAGCCGCAAAGTGTGTGTCCGTCACTGCTCGTCTGTGATGTGTGAATGAAGCATCACCGCCCGTGACCTTGTCTCAGTGTCAGTCTGAGTTCATGTGCGTGTCTGTCTGTCGTTTTGTTACGTTGTTTTTAATTTGTCTTTGGGTCAAACTGTGAATTCACACCTGTAGAGATCCACCTTACTAGTAATACAGGTATAACAGGTACAGGAAGTGGTGCAACAAAATTGTTGTGTTGCAGCACACAATAACAACACTTTTTTAAAGAACACCGTCTACTACTACTACTCCAAACACCATTAGTACTACTGCTAGTCTACTGCTGCTATGCACAGTACAAATATGACTACAATGACAGTTTCTGCCGTCACAGTAAAATTGATGTTTATTCAGAGAAAAAATACCAAACTATATCAACTATATATATTTGTATTGATTGTTTTTCAGTTTTGCGATAGCAGTGCTGTCTAATATTACATACCTTTACCTCATTTTATAATATCTTCACGGTGCACCATTTTTAGTAACTGGCGATCACAACTGGTCGTCATAAAAATCTTGGTTGTATGTGAGCGCGTGTGCCTACATGCCATCTTTGTTTGACCCTTACACCTATTTATGTCAATCTATTATGTTGTCTCGTCAAGATATGCATCTGTGGTCATGTTTGGTCTGCCCTGTCTCTTTCTCCGTCTTACATTTGTTCTTTCTCTCACTTGCCCGTCTCTGCAGACTCGGGTTACACTCCTCCGTCAGATGGCGTTCTGCCTGGCTGAGCTGCACTTGTGGTCCACCAAGAGCTCACTCCAAGTCAAAGGTAGCACTTATCACCATGTTCAATCTACCTCTCTCTCTCTCTCTCTGTCGATTATTCTCTGCCTTTCTCCCTTCTCTTTTTCCTCTCACTCCGTCTTGCTCTGGCTTTCTGTCATCACTCACTTTGTTTTCACACCTTCTCCCCACCTCGGTATATCGACTTTAACAATCTGACTCTCAGTCAACACCAATTCTCCCCTTGTCTGTTTTCACTTTCTCTTTGCTCTCTTCAAATTCTCATCCTTTCAGTGTTGTTTATTGCATTGTACATGACATTCATCATAATGTTTTACCACGTGAAACTGTATTTGTACACTGATTAAAGTGTAATTTATTAGCGTGACCACAAGTAACTCAAGAAACAAGTGAATCATCTGTACAAAGAAAGAGAAAAAGTCGAAATCAGTGCCACAGAACCAGAGTTATTGTTTCTCTTTATTCCACACATTCTTCTTTCTCAAAACCAGGCGCCTGCGTTACCCACAATACCACGAAAAAAAGTTCAGTTTGAGACACTGATGTGTAAAATAAGAGATTTCCCCGTTAAGACGGAGATGCGTTTCATATTTGATAATAATTTTCCAGAAGCACAGCCATCACTGCCACATCACACCACATGACAGCCTACAGTAGTGTGAGCAGAAGTTTTAGACAAGCATCTTGGAGAACTTCCCACAGTCCACCTCAGTGTCTTCTGTCTCCATGTGATCGCAGACCGACTCCATGATGTTGAGATCAGGAAACTGTGGGGACCAGATCATCTTCTTCTCTCTGATAGTTTTATCTTATAGTTCTAGTAATAGATAGTTCTTTATGATTCTGGCTGTATGTTTGGGCTCATTGTCTTGCTGCAGACGATGCTTCCCTGATGCTATTGCATGATGGAGAAGGATCTAAAACATCTAAACCGCCTAAAACCTTTCCACAGTACTGTACATCTTCATATATTCATTGAGCTTTGTTAATTGCAGACCAAAGCTTCCCTGTTGAGCCAAGTGAGCAGGGTCTAAGTTTGACTTTTCTTCCAGTTTTTGTGTGTTTTCTTGCTCTCCACCTATCAGTCCATCTCTTCTGTCAGACGGAAATGCTCTGTTTCTCCATTTTCTTGTTTTCTCCTCCCTTCCATTCTGTCTTGTCTTTCACAGTCTGCTGAGCTTTAGACGAAGATAGTGTCTCTCGGAGGCTGACTGTGTTGTGTGTGTGTGTGTGTGTGTGTGTGTGTGTGTGTGTGTGTGTGTGTGTGTGTGTGTGTGTGTGTGTGTGTGAGTGCATTTGTGAGTGTGTGTCTATGTGTATACACTAAGGTACGGCAGGGTGTATATCCTAGGTGATGGTGACATATCCTTATTTGTTTGTTTTTTCCTGCTGTGTGTGTCTTCCGCTATCTTGGAAAAATGTGGATGGATACATCTGAGGGAAGAGGCCTGGTCGCTGAGGTGTGACGCTCCCTGTCACCCACCTTCCTTACATCATATACATCCGCCTCGAAAACAAAAACATAGATTCATAAAGGCAGCATCTCTAATGCCGTGTAACAAATGTTTTCCATAGCAGCCTTGACCACTGAGCAGATTCCCAGATGCAGTTGAAGTGCTTTGCTCAAAGAGACCTCAACACAAATCACTGCAGGAGGGAAAATAGTTCTACATTCATTAGACTAACACAGATTTTAAATGAAGATTCAGATTTGACCTGGTGTCCTATTTGTCTTGTTTCTCCTGCGGCCTTTGATGTTATGAAACCCAGTGGTTTATTACCTCCACCAAGGGGGTTATGTTTTCACCTGTGTCTGTTTGTTGGTTGGTTTGTTTGTTAGCAGGATTACGGAAAAAAAAAGCACTAAACTGATTTGCACCAGACGTGGTGGAGGGATGGAGCATGGGCCAGGGAAGAACTCATTAAAGTTTTGTGCCGATGTGTGAAACTTCTCACAATTTCTCAGGAAATAATGTTTGGATCTTGATGTAAAAAATCTGGAATATTTATGATGTTGAGATCTTTGACTTTGTACAGTTTGGTGCAGATCCAGTTACTACTCTGAATCTGGTGGAACAAAATGTTTGTCCTTGCAGAGGTATGTGCTCTACTGCTACTAACATTCTAGTTTAATCATTGTACTCTTCTGTGAACCAGTTTTTTTTTTGGCAAAAGATAAATGAAATCCTCCACAGTGACTCTACCTTGTTTGTCCTTACTTCCATAATAAGATAGTTAAGGTTTAGGATTTAGTAAAGACGAACTAGAGTTTGGGTTTGAATTAGGATTAGGTTTGGAGTGCTGTTGTTGTTGAATGAGGAATGAGTATGGAAATAAATATAGTTACTATACTATGGTATAAGTATTCTTCTGATACCAGACGAACTAAAACATTGCATGCTGTAATTGCTTGCCACCACGCTTTAGGCAACTTACTGTAGAGAAAATGAGTTACACACTATGGTGTTAGCAAACCGTTGTCTATGTACACATCCTGCAGAGATGGGTCAACATGAGCATCTCATCTGTGTCATGTCTCTGGCGTTTTTCTTGTCTCGGTCCAGTTTTCTCGCTTCTCTTATCTCTCGTATGGTCAACAAACTCCTGAGAAATGTATGGGTGTTTAGGTTGTTAGATGCTGGTCTGACTTCACTAGATGTTGTTTACCTTCTGCTTCATGTTGGGCCACTAAAAGTGGTGCAGAACTGGGTGTTAATTCAGTCATTTGATTCCATGTTAATGCCAAAACAAAATTGCTTTATACAGTTTCAACCGCTTTTATACAAATGGTTTAATGTGTGTATTTTGTGCTGGTGCAAATACAGAATGATTGTGCATGTTTGTTTAATACTTAAATCTCCATTAGCAAAACACTATCAACTTATAGAGCTGTGGCCGCATCTGTATCCAGGTACAGCACTGTGTGTGTGTGTGTGTGTGTGTGTGTGTGTGTGTGTGTTTGTGTCTGCCATCAGCTCTCTGGTTGTATTAGTGTGACCTGGCCTCAGGAGCAGCAGCAGCGGCAGCAACAGTAGTGGAGCGATAAAGAAACGATGTGTTGTGCGAATCCGAGTCTGGCTGCTTATGGTTTTGGGCCTGCAGGAATAACACTGACAAAAAAGGCTCGGCTCAGCAGTTTGTGTGTGTATGTGTGTATATCTATCAGTATTTCTGTTTGTGTATGTGTGTGTGTGTGTTTGTGTATGTTTATGTTTATGTGTATGTGTATGTGTATGTGTGTGTGTGTATGTGTGTGTTGCATGTATGTTGGACATATGTATTTTCTCTGTAGCTGTCCGCTGAGTCTGTGTGTTGACTTTTAAATGTATATGGTGCATGTGTGTAATTCAGAGAGTCTGTCCCTCAGGTGGCATGGGTTAAAGCACACTCCTGTCTTTATTAATACCCCTCTGCCCCCCTCCATGCTGGCTTGGACCCCCCAGCCCACCTTCCTGCATCCTCCTCCCTCACAGGGTCTTATCTAAACTGTGGCGCTGGCAGACGGGACAGGCCACTGGCTGATAGCGATTGTTTATCCCATGGTGCGAAATTGCTGATCTGTCTTCTGCTTTTCCCTGACAGCAAGATGTTCATCTCTCTCTCTCTCTCTCTCTCTCTCTCTCTTTCACCCCACAGATACAGATATTGGCACCTATCAGTACTACGATAAAGGAGAGCCAGGTAAATAGTGTTTATATTGGATGTCTGTTTGTGTTTAAGATAAGTTGCGTTTGTCTTGTTTTTGGAATGTATGGGATTTCCTTATATATGAAGAAGGGCTTTTTGCTGCCTCCTGTGCTCACGTAAGCGGCAAACACACACACACACACACACACACACACACACACACACACATACAGATTATTGGTCCTGCGTATTTCGGTGTCTTACACCCGTTAACCACACATATACTTTTCAACACAGAGGCTATTAGTATGTGGGATTTACACCCTAAAACCTTTATATACACATGCACATACCACACACACACACACACACACACACACACACACACATACACCCAGGTTATTAGGCCTCCGTGGTTCTATCTCTTACACTCCCAGTGTTCCTGTTGACCCGGGGTCCTGCCACACAGCGATAGGAAAACTAAACTGTTGACTTTCTCCTAGATCACATAGCAAGAGGCCCCATGTAGTCCAGCCTCATATTGCCTCAGGCCAGGAGGCTTCCCCTACCATCAGGAAGTGCTCAAATCACTCACCCACAGTCCCAGCAGTAGGGATAGGCTGTCTCATCATTTGTTTTTGTGTGTGTGTGTGTGTGTGTGTGTGTGTGTAGTCATTTTTATTTGTATGAAAATGATGCATCTTGCAGGTATTTTTGAATTTACACAGAGTGATCTGTCGAGGTTTCGCTTCATAGTACAAACCCTCAAAATTAGACTCTGTAGTATGTAATGCATATTCTACACTACCACTGGATACTGTTCAGTACAGAGAGTGGAGCACATACCGCACACTAGTGTGACTGAACTTTCACATGCACATGCCGGTGGATGGAAACACACTTACATGATGCATTTACCGTAGTGCACAAAGCCCATCTTGCTTTTCTTTCTCTCTTCTTAAAGACATGTACTAAGTCTGTCTTTGTTTTCATTTCTCTCCTTTTCACCATCAATTTTGTTTATTTTTTAGTCTCCTGCCATCTGCATTTTTTCCCTTTGTTACTACGCCTGTCTCATGTTTCTGCCTTTCATTGATTTCCTTCTCTTTGTCTCAGTTTTGTCTCTCACCATTTATATTTAGTTCTTTCTCACTTTGTGTACCGTATGTCTCTCTGCCTCTTCCTCTCTCTCTCATCATGGGGTTCTCTCCCTTCTCTCTCATCTGAGAAGCTGCCTTCTCTTTCATTCCAATGTTCAGTGGGGAGACGATGCTCTCTCTCCAAATCCTTTCATTTGGAGGATTACTAAAGTGTGGCTTGATATCAGAGTGGAGGGAGGAGAGGGGGAGGAGGGGTGAGACGGAGCAGAATCACCATCCAAAAGTATCACAACATTTTCACAGGGCGGTGTAACGATAGCTTAGGTCATGATTCGACTGCATATATAGTAGATTACATTAGATTAGGTTAAAATTTGCTCGTTTGATATTTTGTAGGGGCGCTGTGGCATTCGGCTTGAACAAATGTTGAAAAAGTGGGCGTGTGTTCAGCCAGACTGTGAGAAAAGTACATTTCATAACTAGAATGCCACTCAGTAGAGCGCATACCTCCGCCAAAGCCCAACATTTCCCTCCACCAGATCCGGATTATTATCTGAATCAGCCCCAGATTGTTCTAACTCATAAATCTCACCACATCATAATTATGTCCATACATTATTTCCTGAGAAATTTATGAAAATGTCAAAAAAAAAATGCCTCTTAATTTTAAGGGAAGTGATTAAAAAAAAAAAAAACCCTGGATCTGCTCCTTTGACTAGATGCGCCCCAGAAATGAATGGGTTCCTCCCTGACCCACGTCCCACCCCTCCACCAAGTTAGGTACAAATCTAACATCTATCTTTCAATACTTGAAAGCATAACCTCCTTGCTGCCTTAATGTTTTGCCTCTTATTACACAATGGTCTCACAAAAAAGCCTCTAAAAACCTGCCTTCAAATCTTTATTATTTCTTTATATTCATGACTAAATAAGCAACAATAAGAAAAAACTGAGAGCTAAAGAAGTAGTAGTAGCAGTAAGAAGCTGATTCTGAAAATATCTAAGCTATTTAAGCTGAAGTCAACGTTTTGTTCCAGTTTATTAGGTACACCTAGCTAAAACTAATGCAGTCTAATACAATACATCTTTGCCTCATAAGGGTTGTAAGTTTCAGTTATTGTTGTTTGTGGTGCCTTTGAATTGTATTGCATCAGACTGGTAGGTGTTGCAGCCTTCGTGATGTTGGGACTCATTTAAGGACTGCTGCTTTAGACTGCGTTGGTTTTAGCTAAGTGTACCTAATAAACTGGTGACTGGGAGTATGTGTGTGATGTTGCTCTTGCTTTGACATTCACACGATCATTTGGAAGATGTCAAAACACAGACAACAGTCATACACTGCCCTGGAAAAGTTAAATGACAGTTCCACTTCTCCCCACTAGAGGGAGACCTAGGCTCATTGGAGCGACTCCGGGGGTACCCCTGCTGCCAACCCCCCCTACCCAACCTTCCCCACCCAGCCCCAGAGCAGGTGCCCATGTCTGGTCCTGTCTGGCCCCTCACCCCCTTATCTGATTAATACTACTAATCCTAGAGGTGTTCCTGCCTGCCAGAGAGGCCGGCCACCAGACTGGCCACTTTCTTGCTCACAGTGACCGAGCCATGAGGCGCTGCTCTGGGGTTGCAGTTTGCCAACACAGCCCCTTAGAGCTAAGGGGGTGTTTGAGCTCCAGCTTAGTTTTCTGTTCCTCTTTATCTAAATCATATAGAGCCTAGAATCATTAATCCTCACACCATGCTCTTGTCATACGTTGTATAATCAAACCCTTCATTTGGCCTCTTTATTGTTCCCAGCCATTTCCTTGGAGCATCACTACTACAATGAGAAACTCCAGTTCAGTGAAGGTGAGTTTCCAACAGAGACATCAGAGTGATTGAGACAATTCTATTCTTCATATCCACCCGAGTGTGTGTGTGTGGGTGGGTGTGGGTGTGTGTGTGTGTGTGTGTTTGGGTCCTACTCATCTCACCAGTGGATGTACATCTTCCAGAAATCTCCATCCTAGTCAGTCCACTGTCTTACTTCCTCTATTCTCTCTCTCTCCCTCCCTCTCTCTCTTCCCCTTGCTCTCTCTGCTTTTCACCCAGTAGTGGAATACAAACACCCTTATCAGGAGACGAACACTCATCCCCCTGCCCTCCCCTCCCTCCCCTCTCCCCTGACCCCCCCCCACCACCACCACCACCACCCTCCACCCTCCCCACCCTCATTTGCATGCATCTATTTACCTCCTCTTCCCACTCATTCTTAATAGAGAACCACACTCCTTAATGGTTCGTTTCAGTAAAGATGAAAAGGGAGACTGTAAAATAAACAGACAGGAGAGTGATTGCACCACATTGAAAACAGCAGTGATTCTTCTTCGTCTTCCCTTTTTTTTTTTTTTTCTTCCCACTGAACTTCATGTATATGCGTGGGGCAGAAGCAGATGCACATATTCAATTAGCTGTTTTTTTTTTTTTTTTTTCCACATCCTTCCCTCCCTGTGTTTAACCACTAGAGATGGAGGGGAAAAGGGAGAGCTGGGAAATTAAAATGAAGGGGCCTTGGTGTAGTACGTGTTGAGATATGTGCTGCTAACTGTGAGGTTGCATTTGGGAGATAACTCAAGAGCGCCAAAAGTCCTCACGATTAAATATTTGCTTCTCCTCGAGGACTACGCAGTGTTTTGAAGGGACATTTTGCTTTCAGTTGAATATTCTCACTCCTTAGGTGCAGCTACATCAATCTGTGAGCAGCAGGCTTAAGACTTTCTTTGCTTTGGGGACACAGCACTCACAAATGTAAAGCTTGTAACTTCGTCGATGTCGTTTATGAATCCTGAATTTCTACAGTCATATTTTTTTTTTTGCAGCAAATGGTTTTGCGTTCCATGATCTTTTTTACATTTATGATGTTGTGTAACTTCCTGGTCACAAGCACGTAATTGTACGGTTGACATTTTGGACAGGAAGTAGATAAGAGCTTCCCGCCGCCATATTAGATGTGCTAAGTTTTGATCATTTCATTAAACTCGCCCATAAATGTCTAAATAACCAGGTTCCTCAGTGACCTAGTGGTTCGGAAACACAGGGTGCATCTGCGGGCGGGGGGGAACCTTAAGGTGCCCCTTTCGTAAATCCTCATTTTTATGTTCGGGGGAAACAATATGTTGAACTCCTCATCCAGAGAATTTAACACAGATCATTTAAACTCAAGCTGAAGTCATGAATGAGCTGGTTGTTGTCGTTGAGATTTATGTTGTGTTTTGTGCTTTTCCTATGACTTGAGCAATTGATTGATTATCAAAAGTTTTCTTTTGATTGACCGGTTGATTAATAAACTAACTAATACTTATCAGGACTCAGGATTTGTTTTTCTGCAGTCAAAACGGAGCTAAAGGTCATGAGTTCTTAAAAAGGTTCCTATTAAACGTGAACTCATTATTCTGTTTATATTTATGAACACATTCAGCATTGCATTTTGCCTCATGTACCTGCGTCTCTTCATTCCACCTGACCTTGTTGACCACCTTTTGTTTCCCATTCGCCCCACCTTCATACTTAGATCTCAACCCAGATATAAAGTTCAACCCTTTTTCCCCTTTCCGGGCTCCTGAATTCCCATGAGTACCTTTTTTAAAAAATTATTTCTCCTGTGTCCATGTTTAAAAGTTCAAGTCACATGATCCTCTGATTCTTCTCGTGTTTTTCCTCCATAGCTCGAGGCTATTCGTGGACCCCCAGGAACCGCCGACCAGAGAAGCTACGTGATTCGCTGAAGGAGCTTGAGGTACCCGCCTACTCCGTTCAACCTCACCCCACCTACCCACCCACCGTCCCACCATCCCTCCCGCGCGCCCNCCCTTTCCGAAACGGCCGATTGATTAACAAATAGGGGCATTCTCTCTCTTTTCTCCCTCTCCCTTCACTCTCCCTGTCGTTCCCGTTTGTTCTCCTCTCTCCCTCTCCTCTCTCATCACCTCTCTTTTGGCTGAGCTCTGTCATCGAGGGGGATATTTGAGGGGATCAGGGGGCTGCAGGCTGCCCCCTCATCCCTTCTCTTCCTCCCTCCTTCTCTTCCTCCTCCTTCCCTTCCTCTCCCTTCATTCATCCCCCTCTTCCTCCGCCCTTTCCTCCCCCTCTCTTCCCCTCTGTACTTGTGGCAGTACAGACCTAGCTTTGTTTGCTGGAACCTGTCTGTGGCTGTTACACACACACACACACACACACACACACACACACACTCACACACACACACACACACACACTCCACCCATCCACCTCCCTCCTCTCACCCGTAACCATTGTCTGAAACTAGAAACACCCCAGCTCACCTCCACAACCCACCCTCCTCCTCCCTCTCCGTCCCTCTCTCCTCCCATCCAATCACCCCAGCTGGGTTTGGAATGTGGCAGGAATGACCGACCGTACACACACACACGCACACACACACACACACACAAGCAGTCCTTACCTGCATCCTCTTTCAACTCTCTCCCACCCCTACGTTAGCGGGAACTGCTGCAGTGGCCACCTGTGGCGGCAAGTGTCCAGTACTGTCTACCACCAAGATTATTAATGCCAGTATGAGCGACGTTGGTATTACAAAAAGATGGAAACTTACTGAATTGTTACATAAAATTTCACAGTTTCATAACTTCAGTAGAGGCAAGCAGATATCATTTTTTTCTGCTCTATTTCCAAACATGAAATATAGGTTTTCCGTATTTATTGGCAGGTTTAAACCCAATTCTATGTTTCTCCGAGCTTCATCTGGTTTGTGTTTTTGTGTTTGGGTGGTTGGGCTCCAGTACACCTCTGTTTGTTCTTTTTCTCTCACTCTCTCTCTGTCTTTCTCTCTGTTTATCCACCGTGCTCATTCAGGAACTGTTGCAGACCAACACCTGTGTTCACACCAGATGGAGAAACAAGCACTGCTGCCAGGTACACACCCTCCTCAGCCCACCACCTTCTGTACACGCACACACATAAACACACACACACACACACACACACACACACACACACACACACACACACACACACACACACTTCTTTCCAGGTTCAGGTAGTGGCAGAAGCTGAATGTACGTTCCCTGGTCTGCCCAAACCAGGCCATTTCAAGCTAATAGGAAACATCTAAAACACTGTCAGCATAATTATAATGTGAGACTTTTGATCCTTTTAGGCTAATTCTCTTGTTGCTCGCCCAGGTAAAAACAAGCCTCCCTTTTTGGACGTGTGTAATGTTTGATATGATGGTTGCTTGGTATAAAATTGCCGCATGTCTTATGCCAAAGCAAGCTCATTTCCTTAACCAAACGTTGGAGGTCATTGAATAGTGACTAACTCTGTTATTCAAGTCAGTCTGAGAACCCTGCTGAAGGCTGGTACAGTCAAATCAATTTAATTTATGTAGCACAATATCATGAATTTGCCTCAGTGGGTTTCGCAGTCTGTACAGTACATGACTCTCTCTACCCTTAGACCCTCTATTCAGATAAGAAAAAAGATTGTAAGAAGTTCCTGGAAGAGCAACAGAGGTGGGATCCTTCTTCCAGGACGGACAGACACGCAATCGATGGTGTGTGTCCACAGAACAGAGCGAAGATATAATATGGAAAATCAGGATGACAGTATTGGATGATCCTAATGGCCATTTTCTACTCACCCACAGTCCGACAGACGCCATGTTTGTGTGTCTGAATGCAGTTTTAAGGACAAAGGACACGTAGTTTGTGTTTCAGTGACAGTCTGAATATTCGGTTTGAGCTTTAACTACTTTTACACAGGTGAAATAAGAAAACTTTGTGTGTGTGTGTGTGTGTGTGTGTGTGTGTTTACCCTGCAGTTGATGCTGAGCAGTGGAGTACTGGTGACCCTGACCCTAAGTGGACCTCAACTTGAACAAGTCTGTGTAGACCGCACATTAGTGGGCCGACTGCCAGCCAACACCATCACTGATGGTTAGTTACACAAACACACACACACACTCTCTCTCTCTCACTCTCTCTCTCTATAAATGAATTCCTACTAATGTGGTTGGTCAGGCGTTTATTTGTTTAAAAATATTTTTTACTCTTTAATTCAACACTGGTACCCAGTGCGTGAAAGCCTTGAGACATCTCTGACTGTGATGTTGGTTACCTTGGTGCCACTGATGGTAATTAGTGCTGTTGCATAAGCAACATGCGTATTATGGCAGTAAAGAATGCTTTCCCCTGTATTTTTGCGATTTTTGAATTCACTGAATGAAATCATGATTTGAATATTCCAGAGGTTCCTGTGGTTCAAGCAGATTTAAGGACACAAACATCAGTGTTTCCCCCACATGGCTGGGCTTCCTATCTCTGCACACAGCCACACACACAAACAAACAGAGACATTTGTATTCAAATGTTCAGTATTTTTAAACCAACAAAACAATCACACACACACACACACACACGCACACACACACATACATACATACATACATGCATGTCACATTGTCAGCACTGACGCAGTGCTTACACCTGCTTGCCACATATGGAGCTTGACATGTACCACACACACACACACACACACACACGCAGACTCGCCACTCTCCTCACCACTTTGTCACGCAAACACTCCCTCACACACACACACGCACGCCGCCCTGCTCACATGGCAGGTGCCACAGGTGAGCGTGGCGACTCTGCTAGCTAATTGCGGGCAAATCCTTTTGTGCTGTGTGTGTCCAGGGGCCTTCCCTTAAGAGCATCCATCAGTGTTTTTCCTCCATCGTGCGTTCCTCCAGGGAGCACCGCCCCCCTCGCGCTGCGCTCTCTCGCTCTGCAGACCTGGCAGGAGAGAATAAGGGGCCGTGGACACCGGCCCAAATCTGCTAATTATTTCTTTCTTTCTGTATCAATTATTTGTTCATAACACCACCCTCCCCGCTTCCGCCCAGGGTCTCCAGACACCTGATAAAGCCCCCGTAGTGCACACACTCACATACTCTCTCACGTACACACATACAGACGTACACACACTTGTTCTCACACAAATACATATGTAATTACAAACGCACAGACTTTTTTTTTTTTTTTTTTATGCAGACGAACAAGCACTTACAGTATGTCCACACTCACATTTACAGGCATACACTGGAGCACACATGCACACACCCACACACAATGACACACACTGAGGTACACACATACACACCCACACACACCCAAGAACACATACACCCACTCACCTCCCGCTGCGCTCCATTCAAAGCCTCAGAGGCACTAATTATTAGAGTAATGGTTGTGAGAGGGTGGGTTCCGGGGATTGTGTGTGAGCGGTGGGGGTGTATGTGTTGAATATGGCGGGGGGGGCTGGGGGGGGGGTTGGTAGGTTAGAGGCTGTTCTCACATCTGTCACTTGTTAAATTAGCCTGAGACAATTAGAGTAGAGAGCCGGACCACATCACACCGTTCACCACATTTACAACATACAATTATTGAAACAGTTCACAATTACAATCAAGGTGTGACTGGTGTAAGTGTGTGTGTGTGTGTGTGTGTGGTGTTGTGACATATGCTACTGTGTGTGACTTATCATTGTCTATATACTGTATATTTGTATAGTAACGGGGCAATGTCTGATCAATTTTAAAAAAGTCAAATATAGGGCTCAAACCAACAATTATTTTTCATTTCATTTTTCCAACTAATCGATTCATCATTTTGTCTACGAATTCAGAAAGTATTAAAAAAAAAAAACATCCATAAAACTTTCAAGATCCAAAACTAATGTCCTTCAATTGCTTGTTTTGTCCAACCAACAATTCAATACCCAAAAATATTTCATTTACAATCATATATAATAAAAAACATGTGGCAATTTCTCTGGAAGCAGCAAATATTTGGGCATTTCTGCTTGAAAAATGACTGAAACTAAAACTCAATTATCAAAATACTTTCACATTCATTTTCTTTTAATCAACAAATTGTCGCAGCTCTAGTCAAATCTTAAATTAAAATGTAAGTCACTGTGTAATGACGGAGAATTAATTTTCATTTTCTGCACAGGATTTGACAAGTTTCTTAAACAAAGGGTTTGTCAGTATTTGAATGCTGACGAAAATCCCTTTTCTGATTTGCACGGATTGAATTGAGTGTTTGGCCTGGTGGGTTTTTCGTGAGACTACAAGCAACAGCAGCCAGGTCTGCTTTTGTTTCTCGATGTGACAAAGCAGCGCTTACTGTCCGCTCTTAAACTTCGTCTCCTCAATGCCGGTTACATGCGTGTTCTTACCATGAGCTCTGATTGCATCATACAAAGCAGTAGATTACATATATTTTACACCATCAGAGTATTACCAGCTTCCTTTGGCCGATGGCTGGGCCAAGCTGCGCATATGCTCCACGATTAAGCATCCTTAAGTGATTTTTCATAGCCGGTTTCATTTACCCATGTTTAAATGTGCTTTGGTTAAGCCCATTGGCCTCTTATGTCAACATGCTGCTGAGGAGATGGCATTAAATGGATTTAGCCGACTATCTTTGTGCGTGTGTGTTTCTGTCTGTGTGTACGAGGTGAGACCGTGTACATGCTGTAACATGTGGTTGGTTTGTTTTGTGTCTGTGAATGCGAACTCACAATGTGAATTGTTGTGTGGCACTGCACATGTGTAATGCGCATGTAGGCTCGCATGTGTGAATGTATATGTAGCTATTTGTGGGTAAGTATGAATGTGTACACCATGTGTAAGCGTGTCTGTGTGTGTCTGAGGGGGTGTATCATGGTGGGTCATGAAGGTCTGGCCCTTAATGCCAAATCAGCCACCTGGTCCCAGATTGGGCCACAGCCTGGTTTCATATCCCCTCCTTCATTTGGGAATGAATGGGATTAATCCTAATCCCGTTTATAGACACCCATAGAGATCAATACTAAACTGCATTTAACTTGATTTGTCTGTAATCTATTACAAAGACGCTTACCATTGCATTAAATGTTGTTTCGGAAAGCCATGGCAACATTAATGGCTGTATTTTGTATTGGTTTAAGCCTTGAACCAGTTTTCATTACAAATGCTTTATAATCCAACTTCAGCATAGGGACAGACTGACTCAATTGACCTGATTTAAGATGCTAGTTTTTTCTGTATTTCCAAGCAATGTTTCACTTCCCTCATGAATATTTGCATATTAATTTGAAATTTTCACACAACAGGATGATTTGAAGTGTAATCATACCAATACCCACACGTTTATAAATACACACATGCCATGGTTAATTGCCGGTTAGATTTCTAAATCTCGGGGTGCAGCCTTACTCGTTCAACTCAAAGCAGGATATCTGAGAGACATGTGTAACAACCCCCCTTCCTTTCCATTTAATTGGTTTCATAAACAGATTAATTTGAAGGAGAGGGGGGCTTAATTGCTAATCAGCGTTTCCATGCAGCTCCTGAAGAGTTGAACAGGATCAAGTTTCTACCACAAAAAGGCCTCAGAGCCTGCAGTGCGCTGACAGGAGGGGAAGAGAGAGGAGAACAGGAGACGAAGGAGATACAAAGAACACAGGAGGCCGTGGAGAAGAGAAGAGAGGATGAGGAAAGGTGGAAGGAGGAGACCGGGAAACTAGACGGAGAGAAAAGTAAGGGACAAGAGAGGGAAAGAAAAGACGAGGAAGAAGAAAGAACGGAAAGGCAGACGGAAAGAAACAAACTTCTCTCCTCCTACTCCAAACTAATCAACATGAAATTATACAATATAACATGGATATTGATAAATGGAACTGTAGTATGATGAAGTGATAACACATCTAGAAAGTTAGTTGTTTCCCAGGCATCCAAAGAGCAACATATAGATTCACAAACACACAAGACACAGTGTCTACAAGACTTCATGCAAACAGCAGAGGGAGGGTGAAAGACTTAAACTTGGCATCACATTTCTTCAGCTATGTTCTTATCAAACCATCAAGTTGAATTTTAATGTTTCCTTCAGTTGGGTGGAAGTCACAAGGCCAAATGACAGAAACATCTCTGCAACGTTATCTGACTAACTGGAAGAATCTTCTTAATTTCACCCACGATGAAGAGCCTTTATCATGATCTTACACTGTATATGCTGTACAGTATACACTGCACAAGGAGGCTGAATCTTTATCAGTTATCCAGTGACAGCTGCACACAAAGATGGCCCGCCTCCAACACGTACATTTCAAAATAAAAGTACACAATAAAAATGAAACATAGCAGCAAAACAGCAAATAAAAAACATATAAATGTCACAAAATACCATCAAAAAAATTTGTATAGATTTTAAAACCTGGGTTAGTATTAAAGATTCTAATACAGTTAAAAACTAAACTCCAAAAGCTTTATTAAATGACTAAAAGCTTAAGCTAAAATATTAATTTTAATTCCCTTTGGATGTAAGCCTCTGAGATAATAAATCCAGAAAGTCTCTAAGTTTATGAAATGACATTAATGTTCCCCCTTCTGGCGTCCAGGATGGTCTCATCAATACCAGTAAAATCAATCGATGAATCTTTGGCCTCTGAAAAATGTCCGAAACTCCTTTGCTCCTGGAAGCTAAGAGAATATAGACATGCACAAGAAAATATGGACAATATGTGAATTGTTATTCTTTATTATTAAGGGGTAGTAATCAATGCATGTATCGTTATGTTTTATCATGATTTATGGCAGTGTTAGGAAGACGGTGGAGTTGTTCTTTGTCTTCAATCATGACATGAAGTGATATATGTGGTGATGTCATTCCCAGCGGTGCTGAGTGACAGGCTGATTCTGCTGTCCTTCCTGGAGCAGAGCCAAGTGGCTGCAGTCTACCTCCACAAAAAGAACCAGGACTCCCCAGAGAGCGGCAAGCGAACAGACAAACTCTCACCCTCTGAAATCAAGGTACAGTAGGAGTCGAAGGCATTGATGGAGCCTTCTACTGAAGGCATGAGTAATGTGATGTGTGTTAACGTTGGTGTTTCTAAGAGAGAGTAGAAAGTAACAGAGTCAAAAGAAGGAGGAGACCAAGAGACAGCAGAGACAAAAAAGGTGTTAACTTGTCGTTTCAATTCACTGTCCAACTCATTTCTTCATCGTACCTGATGGCCAACATTTCCAAAATGTTTTTCTTGTATTTCACATTTAATCAGATGCTTTTTTTCTGGCTGAGATCAAGTGAAAGCTGGAAACAAGAAACACGTAGTACAAATTAGTTTTTTCAGCAGCAGCAGTATACATGAATTGCCATAATAATCATTGATTAGAAACATGTATAAAAGTTAGAATACGGTTTCTTATATAAATAATATAAAGTCGCAAATGTACTAAAGCTTTGGAAGCCGGTCTGTTTGAGATTTTGAGTTTTTGCAGGTTGAGGTACCTGCTTGGTCTTTGTTACATTATTGAGTTCTTCTTATACAAATGAGCACTTCAGACATTTCACATGTAAGGATGCAATTTTAAAGCAATATCCTTAATTGATAATCTCCCCCGTTAACAATCACAACTTATGAAACACAGAGGTCTTTTTCTATAAATTCAATGTTTGTTGTAAAATTTAAAGAGTAAATTAAGTTACTTGAATTACAAAAATTAACACAAAATAGTTTAAAATTGCAAAGCCTCCTCTCCCATCTGTCACCACTCAACAACTGGCCAAACAAAATCCAAACTATTTAGCATTGCAAAACAATGCTGCGCAACTTCATTGTAGAACATACATTAGATCAGACTCAACGCATTGGACCTACTTTTCCTCCATTGAAAGGGAGCCTTCAATAATAAATAACCTATAATAATAAGGTTACCCAAATCTCCCCACATTACACTCCAGTTCTACTGGTTTTATGTTAGATAATAAAGACTCATAACTCATCTACATGATGGGCGTGACTTGTGCTTTGTTCACTGCTAGTACAGCTGTTGGAAACACCTTCTCAGTGACAGATGTCCCGGGGATGCACAAATACTGTTCTCTCTTTCATAGCTGCACACTGTCAGAATCTATCCTAGTCCCTCTTTTCACATTTTATATTTTTACATTTATTTTCTGTGATATCCATGTATCCGAATCATCTGGCCCAGTACAACCTTTAAACAATGGGTGTTTGTCCAATTTCTGTTAGTATGTTTGTGAACAACAGGTAGGTTTAGTGTGATCAGCATGGGATTACGGCTTTTACTGTGGGATCAATGTGCCCAGGTCGCCTCTTATTCTCTACGTCTCTCCCGTTTCTGTCTATTAATCTCTCATAAAGATGTGTATAGAGAGGCAGTCTGATCTGGAGGTGTTTTGTAGGTGGTAGTAACAGGTCTGATTATGTGTTGTCCTGTTCTTCCCTCCCCCAAAACAAAACCTCACTGTGTCCTCCTTCACTAGCTGGCTAACCGCTAACCCTGGCATTATCACATTACTGCCAGGCCCTTTTGTTAAAGTGTGTGTGGGTGCGTGGGTGCATGTGCATGTTGGTGTGTATAAAGGCAATCGTTCCTGCCGTGCGTCTGTCTCCAGAAGAAATCCTGATAAGACACCGCCCCACCACCACCACCTTAACACATAGACATTCATTCAACCACCACCCCACACCTCTGTCAGTGCATGTGCATGCAACCTGCAACATACACACACGTGTGCACACGCACACTCAACTACCCATCCCCCATCACAAACACACACAGGCACATACACATCGCCCTGGTCCAGTGGGCTAAGCTGGAGAAGGGAGAGTGGGGGGCATTGAGGGGGAGGCTAAACTAATCCGGCCCACAGAAAGTGGTTTTTGATTATTGCTGACCAGCAAACGCCAGCAGAAAAAAAAAAACTAGAAGAGGGAAAAGATGGGCAGGGGTGGAGGGGGTGTTCGGGGGGGTAGAGATAGAGTGTGTTATTAACCCAGTGATTTTCTGATTTTTTTTTTTCTTTCCCATTTCTAATCTGTTAGTGATCTCCCGTTCAGCTGTTTGGGGCAACTCTTTGTTCCCTTTATCATCAGATGTACTTCCATCATTTTCATTCGTCTCTGTATTTTGTGTCCAAAGCAAATTCCCCCCCCAAGGGGGCAAGAAGGGCAGACATGGACCACTGAACCTGAAATCTGCTCTACTCATACAGTACAGCTTGTCGATATACTAATTTCTGCATGTTCCTGGGCTTTTAAACCTTTTCTGTATTGAGGATTATATGTTTTTTTAATTTAATTTCTAAAGACATTCCTGTATTCCCACTTTTGACAACATACCTATTTAGTGGGATTTTGATTTTACATCTGACTGCTCTTTTCCTGGGTTTCAAATATTTATTTTGACACAAATCTCCCATTGATCTATTACAAAAAAAAATTCCAATTATTCTTTCTGTTTCTCTCCTTATGTATGCTTTTTGTTTTGTCCTTCATTCATGCCTTAATTCAAGCATGATTTATTCTTCTATTCCCTGTCACCCCTCTTCCCTCTTTCTTACCCTTCTGTCCAAATCCAAACATTCTGCTTTTTCTTCATTACCACCCATTATTCATCTCTCTTCTTCCTCCTTCACCTCTGTCCTCCCTCTATCTGTCAGGTCCTCTGCACCATGACAAAGGTCATGGACACGTGTGTTTGTGTGTGTGTGTGTGTGTGTGTGTGTGTGTGTGTGTGTGTGTGTGTGTGTTTGGGTGTGTCCTAATGTATGCATTTTAGCCATCGACTCTGGGAGCTGGTTCATTGTGTTAGTGAGTGTGACTGGAGATAAAGAGTGTATGAAAGGCCTGTATGGATATCAGGCTGCATGTGCTCGTGCCCGTGTGTGTGTGTGCGTCCGTGTGTGTGTGTGTGCGTGTGTGGGTGACGAGGGAATGAGCTGTGGTGTATATGAAAGGCAAAGTCACAGTGTAAGACCTGCAATTTCACTTTCTTTAAAAAGTGCTTCTGGATAGAGCACTGTATGTTAAATGGTGTGTGTGTGTGTGTGTGTGTGTGTGTGTGTGTGTGTGTGTGTGTGTGTGTGTGTGTGTGTTGGTGTTTGCTCTTAGTATGTCTATAAAAGTGTGTGTTTACATGCCATTTTATGTATGTACTTGTGTGTTTGTGTGTATACATGCATGCATGCATTCATGTATGTGTGTGTGTGTGTGTGTGTGTGTGTGTGTGTGTGTGTGTGTGTGTGTGTGTGTTTCTGTGCGAGCGTGTGTGCCCCAAGCGCCACGAGAGCTCATTACCGTGCGTCTCTTTGTTGTGGCCTGTAGAGCGTGGCAGACCTTCCCAAAAATATGCACATCACTAAAACAACAAGCCCGACAGAACAAAACACACACAGACATTAATAATGGAAGATAAAAAACAACCTCAGACATCGACACAAACAGCATCAGGGAAGGACAGGAGAGTGATATTTGGGGCTACAGCTGCAGAAGTTTCAGAGCCCTCAGGAGTCGAGACAGGTCAGACAGGTGAATCCAAATGGACGAATCTTTACGACGGTCTGATAACTTCTCCTTCTTCATAGGACATTTTTTTTTACCGTTTGGGTGTGTCTGCCAGTGTTGATCTTTAAAGTGTCTAAATTTGAGTTTCCATGTGCAGGTGGTGTGTGCGGAGGTGAGCGGATGGGGTCGTAGGCTCCACAGACACGTGTGTCTCAACCGTCTGCAGGATGTGGCGCTCTGCTGGTGGAACCTGGATGAGCCTGGTGACGAGCTGTGGCCCTGGACTCCCACAAACACACACAGGAACAACCTGGTGCTGCTCAGCTGCTCACCTGCCGAAGGCCTCAAGGTAAACGTATACTTACAGTCCAGAACGCAAGTATTTGGAGAGATGTGCATTTTTTCTTTTTCAGATTCTGTGTCTCAGCTTTCATTTCAGTTCTTTCACATCAATATAGAGACAACTGTGGGAGAAAGAACTCTTTTAACACATAGTGCCCAAAGTTTAGGAGTTCAAAAGTAATTGGACGGTTACACATGAAGTCGAAATCATCATATTTGATATCTCCTGGAAAATCCTGCTGAAGCCTTTGACCAACAGGCATCAGCAGACTCCCCTGGTGATGCTCTCTCAGACCTTCACTGCAGGTTTGTTGTGGGGTCTCTCTGCCTTTAGTCTGGTCTTCAGTTAGTGGAATGCAGCTCACTCGGATCGGGATCGGGTGATTGATGCGTCCAGTCGAGGATAGTCCACCTCGTCACCCTGAAAAGCTCTTGACAGCTCCGGACAAGTTTAGGATGGTTGTCCTGCTGAGTGATGAAATATTGTCCAATGAGTTTTGATGCATTCGGCAGAATCTGAACACACAGACTGCTCCTGTTTACCTCTGCGTTCACCCTGTTGCTTCTGTCAGCAGTGACATCATCAATAAATGCCAGTTTGCCAGCTCCAGTGGCAGCCTTACATGCCCAAGCCATAACAGAGGTATGGACACTACGTATTGAGAGGGTTGCATCTACCACACTTTCCATATTGATTTAAAACCGAAATCAAAGTTGAGACTCGTCTGTCGTACGTATTAATCTGACTTGTTTCTTCACGCTGAAAGTCATCTGATGACGAGGCCTGCCAGAAATCTCTTATGGAGATTTGTCGGGCACTTCCACCTGGAAGGAGACCGCAGGCCCAGAACACACTGTAAGGGTTAATTATCCCACCTGGCCTGGGACATCACCTTCAGATCTCCTAGGATCTGCTTCGCTGGTTGCCACGGCAACACAGACATCGATGAGTGACTGAAACCAGATGGATGAATGTAGAAGTAACAGAAATGCGATGTTCACTGAAGATTTTTCAAACTGGACGCTGAGATTTTTCTTCCAAATTTCTTTTTTAACTCGGGCTAGTAGAGGAATTTAAAGAATATACTTAAGTCACTGATACAGTTTACAATTGCGTGTAATGGACAGAAATATAAAAACAATGCTTACAACTTCAATAATTCTGTAATAATGTAATAACACTAGTGTTTTGTTGTAGTTTTGTTTTGTTTGTTTTTTTTAGTTTAGAAACGCCTCTCACCTGCTCGTTGCTCTTCCTGACACCTTCAGCAGCTGATAAGGTGAAAGCCACGGAGGCGGTTGTTTGTGTTGTGGCATGAGACACTGAAAACGCTGCTTACCGGCTCTTTCAAGTTCAGCTCTCATTATAAGCATTCATCACAGGACTTTACAGAGAACAAGCTACGCTAAATCTAACTAATCAACAGTCATTAATTGCAGTGATTCGATACAGTATACAAAACAAGTGAAGCAAAGACACAGGAAAAAAAGAAGCCATCACAAACATTCTTAACTTTAAAGCTTTTTAATACCTTTCAGTGCCGTTTGAAGCCACAAATCACAACTCCAGCTGTTTATTTTAGCATACACACTCTCCGGCACACACACAGACTGAGGACACACAGTGGAAAAGGCAACAAAGCTGCTGTTTTGAGTGGAGTCCTGTGTTGCCGTGGATGGGATTGGGGATGGTGTGTTAGTCACCTCAAGGGTGGCACCTCTGTGTTGCACCTCCATGTATCACCATATGAAATAAGCAGGAAAGCTGAGCTGTGGTACAGCGTGAAGGAGAACGCCTACACATCCACACACACTCACTCACACACACACACACACACACAGACACACACACACACACACACACACACACAGACACACACACACACAAGCTTAGACACACATCCTCATGGCCTCTAGCAAAACCCAAACCCGTGACCCTATTCTGTGTCAATGTAGGATTGGCCTCGTGCCGAAAGCAGATGAAAGATCCCAAATTACCGAACCGGGCTTAACTCGACTCCTCATACCGTGTACCTCGGTAAGCAGATGCAAAATATTCACCTCACCAGAGAGAGAGAAGGGAGAGACTGCAAGAGGGAGAAAAGATGAGCGTTACCAATTGCATGCTAGGAAAACAAATTCAAAATGAAGGAGGGAGGGGAGGTGGTGGAGGGGGGAGACACATGAATATTGAAATAATCAAAGCAGATGCTGTTTGCTGCTTTTTCCGCTTCTTGTTTTTGGAACACTCTCCACATTTATCACACTCCTTCACCTAGTTTATTCTCTCTGTCTCCTTCAACCCCCCCCCCATCACCATCACCACCGCCACGTCCTCCTCTCCTCCTTCTCCTTCTCCTTCCTTCCTTCCTTCCTCCACGCTTCAAGGACATTAAAGTCTCTTCGTGGGGCTGCGGCATCGCGCTCTAATGAAAGCGTTTGTTGTCATTTTTCAGATGCGCGGTGTGAAATTAAGCGAGCAGTTTATATAAGAGCCGTGGCAGGAATCAAACGCCGGGCACACATCGGGAGACGCCAGCTACTTCAATCACTTCAAGCTCATATATATGTTCCTTTTGTTCAGTTCGCTATCTGCTGCACTAAGCCAATTTTCTAGCCAGTCTCTCGGCATTTAAAAAAGTCTGATTTCTTTCCCTATGTGGTCTTAATTCATAGCCCCCACCCCCCCACCCCCCTCTCCTCCTCATGCTGATAAATGGAGCCACAGCATGCAGGGGGGTGGAGGGTGGGAATGAGAGGAAAACACATACATAGTTTGTTTTTATGCAACCAGTTAACATTTTTAATGATCCTTCCTTCATGCTTCCCTCTTTAAACCCCCCCCCCCAACACACACACTCACACACACACACACACAAAGATACACAAACAAACCATTTGCTGAAATTTAATAATCTTAATGAAATGGCAAAAAAAACAGATTTATTTATTTATTTATTTGTATTTTAAGCCACTGTAGCTTTTTTGGGGGGTTGTTGTTTGTGTCCATGTTTGTGAACACACTTCTTTTGTTTGTGTTTTTTAAGGTCTATGACTATCCTGTTATCTGTCACCAAACAGTTTCTCTGCACTTGTGCGATTTCTTTCTGTCTTTTAATTATTATTGACTTCAGCACTGTGCTGTGCAGCGTTCGTCTGTAGCAAAACAACAAAAACCTAAACACACTGTCCATGAAAGACAACCTTGAATTAAATAATTAGCATAGAAAGAATATGTAATTGCATAGAAATTAAATATTCTATAATCTGCACTTCAACTGTAAGAACACTATGATTAAGAGTAAGAGTGTATTAGAGGTCACGTTACATGTAAAATGGGTAAATTTGTCTATAAAACATAAAAAGCTTCAGTCTTAATGTGCAGTAAGGCATGTGCAGTAGAAGGCACATTTTCAGCAATGCACTGGAATCATAATTTGGACCATGAAAGAGTCGGGTATGGAATCCAAAGTGCAGAATTACCCCCAAGCTCCACTGCTTTGTAAAAATCACACAGGAAACACTGCTTCTGCAGTTTCGGGTCGAGTGAAAAAATATTCCCTGCGTACCACAATTATGTTCAACGGTACCAGTTATGACAGTTAAGGTGTGCGGAATATTTTGGTTAGTAATAATCCTGCTGTGCCCCTGTATTTTCTCACATCAGTACCTCAACTCAACCCCTAATTCACATACCTAAAACTTCCCTGTCCCAGTCCTCCCCCTGCGCCGCCAACGCCACCGCCACCCCGTCGAAACACCCCTCATCCCTTCATCCCTCGACTCTCCTCCGAGTCCCTCGGTCTCTCTCTACCCGTCTCTCCCTGTCTTTCTCTGCTCCGTGAGCTGGAAAATTGGCTTCAAAAGGCCACTGCTGTGAACAAGGGCCAGCCACACAGTTGGGCCCATCCGCTTTATCTTTCACGCCACGGAGGGGAAAAAAAGGTGCTGGCGAGAGAGAGAGAGAGGAGAAGAATGGAGAAGAATAGTTTTGACCAGTCACTGAAACCAATAACCAGGAGAAAGCTACTTACTAGAGGCCTCTCTCTCTCTCTCTCTCTCTCTCTCTCTCTCTCCATGTCTCCACCCTCTTTCTCTCTCTCTCTCCTCTTCCTCTGCGCTCTGTCTCTTTACTCACTTCTGTTCCCACTCTTTCTCTTCATCTTTTGTGAATATTTGTCAGTCTGTATCCCTCTCTTTCTGTCTCTTTTTTTTTTTTTTGCACATCCTTTCACTCACTTGCTCACTCCCTCTTTTGACCTTATTCATCATTTTTCTATTTTATGCTTTCAGAACCAGGGAGTACATTGGTACATTCAACTGCTACAATATACTCTGGAGTGTTCACAGCCAAACCAAGCTTTTACTTGAATATATTATGAATTAATATGATGATTTTATTTGAAAATCACAAATACATACTGATTTCAGAATCTCTTTCTGTAAACTTCTTTTAAAATCTGGCTGTTTTAAATTAATGACCTAAATGACTTAACGACTTTAAATTAATGACTTACTGGTTTAAACATGAGTGCAAATTGTTTCTTTAAAAAAAATGTATAATATATAATGATATAATAATATAAGAGTTTGAAATATAATGAACAGCCTCAGCTAATACAGTGAGATCAGTGCTGAGAGAACTGTCCTCTCATAATCGTCATTTTTCTTTTGTGAATATTGATATTTACACCAGTATTTTTACTTAACATTTGCTGTCGGATCGGTCAGTGCAGACATCTGAGCATGCGGGTTAAAGGCAGGTCTATCAGCTGCTGGTAAACTGTATCATAATTTATCTGATGTTCGTGCGTCGTCATACTTAACTACTTAACTGTTTGCAGTTTAAGAGTTTGTGGCTCTGAAAGATTCAAACCTCATAACCCTGAACATCTTGAGTGTTGTGCTCTAATCTCCTAATAGGCTGTGTTGCCTTCAGGTGCCTTTTGCTTGCCTTTCCTTAAAGATGACCCGGAGTCAAATTGCAGCTGCGCAGGTTCTAATAAATATTGTGACTGTAAATGTGGGACTGAGTGCAGTTTTTGCTGCGTGTTTTCTGTGTTCTGCTGTAGAACTACAGAGATTTATAGACTGCATCCTTTTATATACTAGACAAAACTAGACAATTCGGGACACAAAACATGTAGGTCAAGTTTAGGTGAATATTGGCCTCTAAATATAAAGGCCTTTAAATCTAATGAAAATGAAGGCCTGGACAAATAAACTATCTACTTTCAGAGATGTATTTACGATATAATGATGATATGATTAAGGAGTTTCTTAGAGATAAATAAAATGTCATTCTAGCTACGAATCCACTGTATAACGTACTGTATCTAACATACTGAATATCACAAACTCCAAATCAATACATTGATGTTTGAGGCCCATTAGCTTCTGTATGAATAAATGCCTTTTATTGATTGTTGTGCTGGGGTGAAAATAACCCAGATATCATTAACTTCATCCAGTTTTTACAGTAAATACCTAGTTGTGTTCAAGAGCACGACTGATTCAGCAGTCACCTGAGCTACAGTTGTGGACGTGGGTCTTTAGTGTGATATGAGAAATCATACCATGGGTTGAACGTTTGTTCAGTCTCCAGTATTTGATCAAATAGATACAAGACCAAGCACAAATTTGTTTGGATCTCAATTAAATCATTGACTGCTGCAGGTTCAACCAGGCCATGTAGTCTTTACTCTTTGCCTCTGAGCTTTAGCTGATATTCTTTCTCCTTCTCCTTTCCCCTGAGTGTCACCTATCAGGAGACACAGAGCTGAATCAGCTGCACCTCATCCTCAGTGCTGCCATGGTGGCATGCTGGCGCAGCGGGCAGCGGGCACTAGCAAGCCGGGCATGGGATGAAAAGCTGAGGAGGATGAGAGGTGGTTGTGGGGTCAGGGTTTGTGGAATTGAAGCAGGTCTTGTGACTCATGTGACAGCATTCTGTGCACGGACTCCATGGACCTTCGCTTGCTATGTGTTTGTGTGCGAGTTTATTTGATGGATGTGTCACTTTGTCCCTGCAGAAATGTTGCTATCCGGAGAACCGCACCCTCCCAAGGATACCCCCACCTCTTACATGAATTGAGCCCCTCTTGCCTGCTGCCTCAAACAAACACACACACACACACACACACACACACAGCACCCACCCCCTGGGGAGCAGCAGGAGCTAGCTCTGGGGGATTATGGAGAGGAAAAAAAGCTTTCAGGAGGACAGTCTTCTGCTTCTCTCCTGCTGTAGACCATGGGCAGGCAAAAAACTCCCTTCCTCCCTCTAAGTCCCTTTTTGGCAATGCCTGCCAAAAACTGGGCCGGGCAGCTTTGCAAAAGGAAAGGAAGGCAGGCAGGCAGCCGATCCCTCTTTCTGTCTACATGGCGAAAAGAAATGGGCTCATTTAGCCAAAGCTGCCACGGTCAATGCAGGGCTCTGATAGAGGCTTTGGTAAGGTGAAATCCCTCCTAAAAAGCTCTGTTAGTGACTGTGGAACTGTTGGACTGCTGTTTAGTACAGCCTGTTGTCTCTTGTCATCCACCTACTGTTCCTGGTTCCTTGTGGGTGTTTTATCGACAGTGCCACCCGTGACACAGCCTATCTCCCTCAATGTCAACGCTGGCTTGCTTAGCACAGCCATTGTGCCGACTCCCACCGACTGGTTTTGGTCCAGGAGCGCATAATGTAAATTCTGTATCTGACCCTTGGTCAAATGATTCCAAGCTTTCTTCCTGTATCACCTTCTTTATATTGGGAAAGGCTCGTTTCCTGTCATTCACCACGTCTAGTGTTGAGCTCTTGGCTCCTCGCACAGGTAAACAGAGGAGGTTGTTTATCACTGGGTGCTGGGTGCCAAGCCGTGGCATGCTCAGGGAGAAGCCGTTGTTGACCTTGAGTTAAAATGGAGCTGTTATCATTAGCTGTCTTGATTGACAGCCGGGTGTTGATGAGCAAAGTGGAAGGCTCTATTTCCATCTCCAGGGGGTTTGGAGCCTCTGCCATTGTATGACTCATTTCCCTGCCTCTGTTTTTCTCTCACGTGTTCTCTCTCTCTTCTTCCTTACCTTTCTTTTATTCAGAAACATCTTTAAGTGTACTGACACAAGTCAGCTTCTTCCAATTCCTAAGCAGAAGAACATGTTGAAACGTCAACACAATTAAAGTTGTGTTGTTTATACAGCAGTTAGTGACACTCGCTGAAGGGATGCTGACTGAATCCTCCCTGTAACCACTCCAATATCAATATGGATTTTTTTTCACTCCAGACCCAAAGACAGATACAGACAAAAAAGAAAAGAGCATATGGATATTCAAAACAAATAGCTCCAGTGTGCACCGCTCTCTGAAATTGCTGTCTCTTCTTCTACCCAGGTCCTCAGCTCAGTCCGGACAGAGAGCAACCCCCTGGACTGCCGCTTCAGCCTGCTCCAGCCCTACCAGCTGCTCACAGTGGAGCTCCCTGCTAGACCCCAAGGATCCCGAGAAGGGTGCTGGGCTGACACCTGTGTGTATGAATATGCACGAGGACGCCTGCACCGCCTTTCTGTCACCCGCATCCCGCTGCCATCCGAGTCCATTTCCTGTTCACGTCACCCCTCTGAAACCACTCTCCTCCTGGGCTTAAGTGACTCCTCCTTGGTCCTGTATGACCAACGACGGGGGGTCTCTCACCTGGCCTCCTGCCCTGTGCCACCCAACCTCCTCGCCTGGCACCCTGCCGGGGCCGTGGTCATGGTTGGGGGAGGGCAGGGAGAGCTGATGTGCTTGGATGTGGGCTTGGCACCTGTGAACATGGCACTGTTAGCAGAGGAGGTAGCTTCAGCCGCCACACTAAGACTAGCTCAGCACCTACGGTGCTCTGGAGGCCTGGAGGGACTGCAGTGGGGGACAGGCCTGGAGGGAGGCCCGGAGGGGACAGATATGCTGATGTTAGCCTTTCATGGGGGACCACTTGCAGCCTTGAGATTCAGACTAGGTAGGTAAAATGGTGATGGGAGTTGGAATAGTTGTGGAATAAGCTGGGGCTACGATTAATAGTTATGTCCTTTGTTGGTTAATCTGTCTGTGACAAGTTCTCAAATCCGGGGGGGGGGTGTCTTCAGATCACTGGTTTAGTCCGACCAACAGTTCAAAACCTACAAATATTCAATTTACAACGACATAAACCAGAAAAAAAAGCAGAAAATCCTCATATTTCAGAAGCTGGGAGCAAATGATAAACAACTTATATCAATTATTAAAATGGGATGTTGATTCATTTTGTGTTCACAGTGCTAAAGTGCTAGAAGTTGAATAGGAGGAGGGTGAGAAGAGTCTACACCACTCAGAGCTCATAAAGAGGGAAATCTTTAAAAGAAACGGTGAAACTGCATAAATTTACTAGTGCTGTCTCAGAGGGATCCAGTCATACTACTCAAATATGGAAAATGAACAGGTGCATCCAGGGCTGGGCTGCACTGCCCACCCCCACACCCGCAACCTTTTAACAGAACAGGCAGATATATATGAAATTGATGGATTTTCTTTATCAGGAAATTTTTATCCCGTTTAGCCTGTTTCTGTCCAGATTAAACTTAAATTTCTTAAAATTCTACATTACATGCAGTGATTCTAAATATAAAATGATTCACAAACCTTCCTCTCCATCATAGTACATTCCTCTCGTAATGACGGTGCCCTCCTCCCCTCCCCTGTTTTGGATCTGACACTGTATCTGAACCCCGCTGTGTAAATGCAGCTGCTGAACGGGTCGTCCTCGTACCTCTTCACTGCTGAGGGAAGTTAATTTGTTGGCGGGCGGGAAGGTTAGCAGGAGTCACGCTCTCAGAGGTCATTCAATAATCGCCCCGGGGCACGAGCCC